TAAATTAGGGACGACTAGCGCAGATAGCCCTCGTGTAGCTTTGCCGGAATTAAAACCACTCGTATCAAGAGAGAGATATTAAAGTATCCTATTAGATACTAATATGTTTCATTGCAAGTCTAACATTTACGTAAGAATTTGCTTGAAAAATTTTATAATTGATTTGTTATCGGTTACAGGAAGTATGAAAAAAGTGACTTGGTTTGAAATTATACTAACAACTTATGATTCTTTGTGACATATCGGTTCTTTGTTTGGCCACACTCATTCTGGAGGTATCAGTATTCCTGTGCACGTAAGGTCTGGAACTAGATCGTGTAATAAAACTAATACTTTTACCCTGTAACCGACTCGCTCAAAAGAGGAATTTGATAGACCTACTTTCTACGCGCGTGTGCCCCCTAGTGGCACAGCGGAATGTCTGCGGACTTACAACGATAAAAACCGGGTTTCGATACCCGTGGTGGGCGGAAAATAGAGAGCCCTTTGTGTAGCTTTGTGCTTAACTTTAAACAAACAATCTACACGCGTGCACGTTGGAGCAGTGAACAAAAACCTGACATTTTACTGTGGGGACAGAAATAAAGTCGAAAATGACCACTGGATACGAGTATCAGGTAAATTTTTATAGCTGTATTGTTTCTGTCAGCGACGTATTTAGGTTTTTGCCACCCTCAGGTCCACCCGGAAGTGCCGCCTCCGTGGACCGGACATAGTCTAAACGATGCCGCCCTAGGCCTGGGCCTAGTTAGCCTTTGCGGAAATACGTCACTGGTTTCTGTCATTCATTGTATGGATGACTTTTGTTTTTTTATTAGTTAGACTTATTTTAACATGTCGTAGTATATGCTATATTTTTATGCCTGTATATATATATATACACTGAACATATGCAAAATGGTATTTTTTACTAAATTTAAAAATGTAAGTAATTGATTCAATATGAAGGGTTTGTTTTTGTTTTGTTTTTGAATTTCGCGCAAAGCTACACGAGGGCTATCTGCGCTAGCCGTCCCTAATTTAGCA